TTCATACCATAGTATCCCTCATATAAAACTATTACGGGAACAGTCATACCATCCATAGTTTAACTGTTTGCATAGAATAAATCATGATGCCATATATCTTATCTGCTTGAACATAAATTACTTGACAGTACTATCGTAAGTTTCTGATGCTCCGAATAAGAATGTGCCGGGGATATTAGCACTCTGCAGATATGAGTACGGCATATATTGATGTACTTTTTACAAAATGATACCTCCACTCATGGATACTTCCCATTCAACTGTGCACTCCAAAGGGAGGTATTATCCGAAAAACAGTATTGTTAACATAACGGTATTCCTTGGACAAGCATACTTCTTAAATAGTACCAAAGACATCGTCGTACTAGGGAAGGCACATAATGGCAGATAGAATGGTACCCGTAGCACAATACCACTCCTCGAAGATCAATAGCGGAGACAAAAAAGTACTCTTGACACCATCATACTCCCGGAGTATCAATACTCTTTAAGTAATAGTATTACAGAGGGGCCCTAGAAGTTCGGCAATCCTGCACGTGATTTAATGAAGTGATTAGACTTACATCATAACACTTGACATGCTGATAAGCCAAGGATAAGCTTACTCTTCGAGATATAGCGCCTCCTACATAACAGTAGTTTCCTTCAATTAACAATGTACTTCACAAATTAATACACTGGACGCAAAGGTATCATTCACCTAAAGATACAACCGGAGCTTGTGCACTCTTCATACCATAGCTCTCGGCAATTGGAAAAGGGTTACACCAAATATATGTTATCATCCCAATATATCAGTTAATACAACTTTTTCGATTTTGCCACCATCCAGATAGGGGTGTATCAAGCACATCCGCAATTTCTGTATATCAGTACTATAAATATTTCTGTACTTTCATCATATTGGTATTGCAAATCATAAATAGTCTCTAAGAGACTTTGCTATGTAAATAGGAATATTATTCACACAACAATACTCTTAACATGACAGTATTCTTGGTACACATCCACTCGTCCATAAGATCGTATTCTGAATATAATGATATGCATTATGGCAGAACACACAACACATAATGGTGCGGCTTAGTATGATAGCACTAGAAATCATGCAGATAGTTGAGGTAATAGCCCCTTCATATAACAGAAGCCTGGCAATCTCCAAATTGTATACCATTGAAAAACCAAACACCTTAGTACGGTTTATATGAGAGCTGTAGAATATCCATGCAATTCGCAGAACAGTAATACACGTGCAATCCGGCGCTGCACTAGCGTTAGAAGCGCACACTAGTATTCTACAAAGAAGAATACCACAGGCGGCCTTGTACTCTTGATGTAACGAAACGATAGGCATGTCAGTACTGTGCACATATGAGCACTACGGACACGTCAGTAGTTCTCCTACAATATCACTCCAAGAAATCCTTACCCTTGACGCAACTGTGCTCATCAATTAACAGTGTTATCCGGGTGACACTGCTATTCACCTAATACTACTCCATGAACATCATCACCTCTAAAGAAATAATACATAAGGGATAAAAGTGGCCCTTCACACATGGGTATAGTATTCCTGTTTTGTTATGCTACCACATCAGTATGCTTATGATATTTACAATTCACATATGTGGCCTTCTCCCTAAATAGCCGAAGAAAGAGAATATCTTCATAATGGCTCCAGATAAAAAAAAAATCAGCGCGTTGATGAACATGTTAAGGAAGAAACTATTTTGATAAAAGGAAATGAAATACAATACAACATATTCACAATGATGCTTCCACAAGAGCATATTCACAATGATGCTTCCACAAGAGCATCTTCACAATGATGCGGCCGAGAAGATCCTTTAAAAATGACGCGACGAAAAAACATCCTGAAGATACCAAGAGAAGAAAGCATGTTCATAGAAGAGATAAAGAACAAAACAGGATCTTAACCATGCCGCCGAAAAGAGACGTCTTATAGAGGAAATCACACAGGAAAGGACATCTTCAAAACGCCGCGAAAAAAGGTACATCATTGTAGAAAAAATGACACACACAAGAAAAAATCTTCACCTTGCGGCGGCAGCAAGAAGCAGCCATATAAAGGAAATGAAACAAAACAATATAATCCGGCCGCCGCCGGAAAATAGCATCATAGGGAGTGCTGCGGAAAAGAAATATCTTTATAAAAAAGAGAACCTCGCGGAAGAATATCTTCCCGGTAACATAATAAAATAAAGAAGCTTCTTTATAAGGGAGTCAAACAGGAAAATATCATCGATATAACGCCGTAAGAAGAATCTTCGTAAGAAAAATGCCACACGGAGAACAATTTTCACAATGACGTGGCACAGAAAACATCATTAGAGCACCCCAGGAAAAAACTATCGTCCAAAAAAAAATACAACACAACGAAGAATTCTCGTAGTAACACGGCAGAAGAAAAAGTCTTTATAAGGGGGACAGGCGAAAAGATGTATTAAAAGTTCAGCGCCGTAAAATGAATATTGGGAGAAAAAATGCCCCACAGGGAAGATACTCCACAATAAAGCACCATAAAAAAAGGAAAACTTCATAAGAATGAAACAAGAAATATCATCCACAACTAAAAGCCATACACAAGAATATCTTCATATTGAGGCAGGGAAAAAAATGTAGGTATGCAGGAATGAAAAACCAAGAGGCATCAGTATAGTGACATGGCAGATATAACCATCCTTAAGAAGATGCCACACACAGAGAAGGCATCACAGTGCTGCGACAAAACGATAAACATCAGAATGAGGTAACACGGAAACAGCGCAACAACGCAACAGCGGAGCATCATAAAGATGCGGAGAAACAAAAGATCTTTAAGGGAAAATTACACAAGAAAAATCGTGATAAAAATGAAGCAAATAAAGGCATCTTCATAAGAGTACCAGCGCAACGGGCCTCCTCAGAAAGATGCTGTAGAAAATGTTATCATAACAGTAAGTAGTACACAAACAAACTGGTTCATATAAATCCTGCGGAAACAGGCGTCTGCATAAAGAATCCTCCCGAAAATATATCGTCAAAGAGAACCCACACAGAAGTATATCTTTCTGAGGAAAATAAATAAAAAAATATATTTAATGAAGCAACACGGAAAAACAGGCGTGTTGGGGTTATGCCACATGAAAGCACGTTCACTAGAATTAGGCCATATGAGGGGACGTTCGCGAGAATTACGCCATAGGAAAGGACGTTCCCACAAATTACGCCACAGGAGAAGACGTTCGCGAAAATTAGGCAACAGGGTAAGACGCTTGAAGCGTCAGGCCACACAGGAGAGCCTGCATTATGTTCCTTGTCACTATATACCTGAATATAGCGAGAAGAACTAGGTGTACGTGGAATCAGAGAATGAAAAGAACAATAGAGGAGAACAGGCTGGGCACAAAGTTCTGCACAGAGTCACTTTAATCAGTGATCACTTAAATAGGCTCTTTTCGAGAGGTGTCTTTAAAAAGACAGCTACTGAATTAATCATGTCATGTTTATACGAAAACATCTAATTTCACGGAGAAATTAACAGGTTAAAAAAAAGAGAAAGAAAATAATAAAATCAGTGCCTGATGTAATGATGAGGTGCACAGAATAGAGGGGGAGTATGAGGGAAGGACGGGCAAAACTGTGGCTGACTATGACGTCAGAAGAGGTTCCCCGACATGGTGTGTAGATATATACTCAATACAATAGTTATATCTAGAAAGATGATTCTTCCCATGCGAAATGCGAGATATCCTGACAATTATAATGTCAGTTGTTAATATTCCTAAGAATCGTCCAATCTCTGTGGCTTCAATTGGAATAACCAGGGAGTATACCCTTTTCTATTCCAGCCCTCCTGATATCTGTCTATATTGTTTATTTCACTTGAATAAATCCGCTTATGAGCTGTCGGTATGACCAACTTATATTTCATTAACTGTTATGGCTCCCAGATTGCCTAGAGACCACTGACACAGCTATACACGAAGATGTCACTGTAGAGCTCCACATGGGATTACTCGTCTCCTGCCTAGTAAGGAGGGATTGCTTCATTCTACCGTACATTATTGTTGCTGTGATAACGCAGAAAAGAAGCGTGCTTCCAAGGAAATCAATATCTCGGAAATACCAAATCTTCATATTTCTGCAATAGTAGACATACTCTTTGAGATGCCTGGGGGATCCATTCTAATAATTCGCCATATTAAAAAATATGGACATCCTTCTTAATACGAATACAGAGCAGAGGCCTCTAATTATTCGTAGAAATCCTGGATAAACAACGAACATACTCCTGAAACATACGTATTAATCAAAGGACGCATTAGTCCTGGTTCATAGGGAAAGTACGAGTTGTTTATTTCATTCTTTCTCTATCAAGAAGGCACAGGAAAATGAGAAACTCTTCCTCTTCTGAAGCCTCATCGAAATCGCGGATTTGTAGGCATGTTATCTATCGTCTCATGCTGCCGTTACAGAAGGCACAATTTTAATATCTCCCTACCTTATCATCATCAGTAACATCAGGATAGGTCGAAATATTGAGAGGTGACAGGAGGATTGCAGAGACTACCTTCCACTTATCCCCTTCTTCCATTTCTGTAATCCTGGGTCATACTGTTTACGAACCTGTAAGTTTGGAATGCTTATCTTTCGTAAGAATAAACTCATGGCTCCTTTATTCACTTTAGAATAAATCCACAGGGACATGTACCCGCAGTGATTCTTCTTTTCGCCACAATTACGTCTTCCCTGCTTAGTGTATTAGACAGCAGTGAACTTCAATCTAGTCTCTGCTAGCGCCTTTTTTCTGAGGGAAGGAAGAATATTAACCCTCAGGCCTTGGACGGCAAAGATAAGACATGAACCATAAATCTGGAACGGGAACGTTAAACCTGAACGAAAACTTGGGCTCTGAATATAAATTGTGAAGCCTACACATACATTTGAACTGTAAACCGAAACAGTAAACATAATCGGCTTATTCTTCCGGACTTTTGTTATCTGATGCCGTATCCGATACTATATGAATGCCCCCGATCCTCTGAATCCTCGTCTGTCTGGTTACCTGAGTCATTACTCGAGATTTCACTGTCTTCCCATTCATCCAGTTCAGTCCATCTCTTGAATGAGTTGTTCCTTCTGAATATTCGTTTCCTTAGGAAACTTCCTATAGGGGTAAACTATACAAATATTTCTGCATATATCCACATCCTGCCATCTCTAAGGCTTTGTGTTTCTTACTTCTTTTTTAACTCTCCCTGTTCTGCTCAATGGGATTATATAAGGTTATGCTTCCTTAAGTGGCCCCTCTCAGAATCCCTCTGGGGGTCGAGGCTTCTCTTTACATATGGCACTCATAATATTATTCTTCTCTCTAACACATACTTTCTCCTTCTGCAATTGCGACCCTCTTCTCTTTTACCTTCCACAGATTAAAACCGATACTTAATGAAGCCATGACTCCAATAGCAACTTTCCCCCATGGTATTTCGCCCGTTATCCCCTGGGCTTCATGGGTTCCAGGCGATTTTTCTATTTCATTCCTTGTATCCTCATAATCTAGTATTTTAGGGGCTAGTCCTGTGATGGGGCTTCCGCCTGGGGCGTCGTCTGGGTGTGGCTCATGCATACTACAGGGCTTCTCCTTAAAACCCTCTGCGTGGTGGGTAGGAGATACTTCACTAATAGGATATAGTCCGGAGACATGTCCTTCTGAATCTGACTCTTGCTTATGAGGGAGGTTTGAACACATTTGCTGCATCCTGCCCCCTGACGGCATCCATCCCATTCTATTGAGAACATTACAGATTACTTCAGATGTCGGTAACTGTTCGCCCCTGGTTCTTCCTTTAAAGGCGTGTGCCCATCCATGAGTTAATTTGATTAGGGCTTCTCCCCTGCTTGTAGGTATCCCCAGCTTTCTCCTTCTACCCCTTTTATTGTCTAGCCCCTTTGCTATACCTTCAATGACCTTATTCCATAATCGTTCCATGTCCTTGCCCCAGTTCCTTCTTAATGCTTGGTCTTTAGACATTAATAGATATGCCCAACTATCGAGATCCTTCCAGAGTTCTAATTCGTCACTTGCTTTCTTGTATCGTGTCTCTTCTTTCCATTGATCCCAGGTTATTTTCTCCCACTTCCCTAATATGCCCGTAAGGCATTCTTTACATTTGGTTATTCCCTTGGCTTGTTCTTCACGTGCAGCTCTAAAGCACTCGTTACAATGGCTGGGAATGTGCTTCCTTCCATAGGCTTCGAATAGATCGTATATGGATGCACCGGTTACTACATCTATCAATCGTTCCTGTAAGAGATACAGGGGAATATATTACTATCAGAACCCCGAGGTGTTTCCTGATGTTTGTCATTCAATGAGGTAGGGGTTTGTCTCCTGGCTCGTCTCGTTTCTGTTGGCTGTTATTATGAATGCATCATCCCATTTGCGTCTTTTCTGTGTTCCTTTAGGTTTCTGCATCTTTATACACCGGCCGCATTCTCTTAATCTCGTGTTGTACTTCTTGTTTGTCATTGCTTCATTGGTTCATTGGCTCCTCCTTGAGTTTTCTAGTGCTTCTTCTGGCTTCATGCAAGACTCTTGTCAGTATGCCCTCATGTGATTCATATAGTCTGTGTTCATCTTTACACTGGCATAGCTGTGCTGCCCCCACTGATCGCGAGATTGTTGCTTTGACTGCTACTTTGTCCGCAACCGTATATGAGTGCATGTGGCTGTTAACTAGGTATTTTCCCGGTGTCAGTCGCTGGCAACTGGTACTTTTATTTTTATATTTCTTCAGGTTGTTTCATTCGTCGGGTTTCCTTTGCTATTTTGCACTTGTTCCTGAGGAATTCATGTTTTTTTATAATTTGCAATTTGGGATGTTGTTTTTCATTGTTGCCTTACGCTATCTGTGGTTTTGCTAATCACCACGGGATTGGTTGGCTTCGTTTATACTTTTTACTCTAAATCCTGCGATTTTTTCCTCTTAATGATTTTTTGACCATGAGGGACTCGTTTTTGTAGTGTTGAATCAATGTGTATTATATCTGCTGCATCTATTACTCTTGAATGCTTTGGGACACCCTGTTCGGCTTACTTTGAATATTAACTTCTCTTATTTCCCTTATTAATTGTTTCTTGTGTTGTTGTTATTTATCCTTTTATAGTTCAGAAACAGAAGCTCTTAATTATTGTGATACATAATAATTATTTATGTGCTGCTCTTGCTTATGCTTCTGGATCGTTTATTTGTGCTATGTAAGAACAGAGTTTACTCTTATTATCCTCGACCTTACTGTTATTTTCTTGACTTGGTAAGTCCATCCTGGGGTGGTCCGGCCCACTTCATAACAGGCCTTTTTTAAAAGGTCCACATGTCGTCCTATTCCTTTCCCCATATTGGCGCCATGCTATTCATACAGTTTCCGTATTATAAAAGTGTTTTCTGATGTTCACTATCGGGTATTATTTTGATTCTTCAGTCTTATTGGGTTTCCAGTTATCCTCTTTATCCTAGTACCCCTAGATAATCCTGACATCTGGTAAAATCACAGGAAGAATAGAATTTCATTATTATATTCGTATTTTCTACTTAGTAGTTTTCGTCTCATAGAACTGAGGGTCTCTGTTTGTCTGTTCAATAAAAGAATTTCGGTATTTGACTCTCCCCCCAGGGATGAAATGTTCTTCCGACTCTTGAATATCATCCCATTGACACCGGCAGTTTCTTATAAATCATATCCTTATGGCTATATATCTTCAGAATCTACTTAGCTCTTATGTATAATGTTCCATATATATTTTATCGGGTCCACGTTTCTTGTGTCCTTTTTCTCCTGTTTCGCATCCTTTTTGTTTTCTTCTTCCTGCTATTTTATATTCCTTAGCAGACGTTTACAAATCTAATATTCCTACTAGAAATCTATAGTATTCATCCTCTTCTTGGAGTGTCCTAATTATAATTCCTCACTTTTGTCAGGGAGAGGCCCTATTAGAGACTCTTTTTGTATCTACCCGTATTTGTTGTTCCCCCTCACTCTTTAAATTACTGCACCATTTTTTTATATAATATTCATTATGCGGTAGGCCCGAGTATTATACGGACTGAGTTGGCGGGATCGGAGGTTATTTTATACGAGGTGGTTTGTTATGTTCGCTTTCGCTTTTTTTTTCTCTTAATACATAGCTTCTTAAATAACGTAGCCGAATTTATCCTACCTTCTGGGATTTTTA